ATCTCAGTGTATATACACTGAGAGACATACACATCTCAGTGTATATACACTGAGAGACATACATATCTCAGTGTATATACACTGAGAGACATACACATCTCAGTGTATATACACTGAGAGACATACACATCTCAGTGTATATACACTGAGAGACATTACATATCTCAGTGTATATACACTGAGAGACATACACATCTCAGTGTATATACACTGAGAGACATACACATCTCAGTGTATATACACTGAGAGACATACACATCTCAGTGTATATACACTGAGAGACATACATATCAGTGTATATACACTGAGAGACATACACATCTCAGTGTATATACACTGAGAGACATACACATCTCAGTGTATATACACTGAGAGACATACATATCTCAGTGTATATACACTGAGAGACATACACATCTCAGTGTATATACACTGAGAGACATACACATCTCAGTGTATATACACTGAGAGACATACACATCTCAGTGTATATACACTGAGAGACATACACATCTCTGTGTATATACACTGATAAACACATCTCTACGAATACATTTGACAGGTTTATTTTGTAAACATTCCAGGCAAATGTATATATGTATTCTAATGTATTTATTTTTATTTAAATTTCGTTTTCGAGTTATAGTTAGGTTATTCATAAGACAGATTAGGAAAGAATGAAGAATAATGATGATAAATGAGGATGATGATGAGAATAATTCTAATGATGATAACATTATACTTAAATATAATAGGTAATATATCAGCTGGTACTACTACCACTACAACTACTGATATTACTAATAATATTACTAATGATATTACTAATGATATTACTACTACTACTACTACTACTACTACTACTACTACTGATACTACTAATGATACTACTAATACTACTACTACTACTACTATTACTACTACTACTACTACTACTACTGATACTACTAATGATACTACTAATACTACTACTACTATTACTATAACTATTACTACTACTACTACTACTACTACTACTACTACTACTACTGATACTGATACTACTAATGATACTACTAATACTACTACTACTACTACTATTACTACTACTATTACTACTACTACTGATACTACTAATGATACTACTAATACTACTACTACTATTACTATTACTATTACTACTACTACTACTACTACTACTACTACTACTACTACTAATGCTGCTACTACTACTACAACAAATTAGAATGGCACTCGATACACCTGGCCAGCTTGGTCAGGACTCGATCCTACGTTCTCATGCCCAGCCCTGTGTGAACTGAACAAAGTATGCATACCTCTATCCACTGGACCACTATCCTTAAACACCAGGTGCCCAGCAGTACTGAGCGTGTTATCGTGATGCAAGGACAATCGTGGTCGTGGAGCCTTAGAGATTAATTTTAACCCCATCCTGTTTGGTGAACCAGCCATCACGAGCAGTCTATGTATCAATGAAATCACAAATGGTTTTTAAGGATGGTGGTCCATTGGAGACAATGATGCGTATTTAGTTGAGTTCACACAGGGCTGGGCATGGCAACACAGGATCGAGTCCTGGCCAAGCCGCAATTCTCTTAATGATTCAAAATGAAATACTTAGTTATGCTCCTCTCTCAGTTTATACACACAGAGATGGAGAATTATCTGTGTGTGTACTGTACACAGATATGCAACTCGTGGTGTATATACGTACGTATATGCTTACAGATTCGTAGCTCTAAAAAAACACGAGAACACAATACCGTGACTGGAACAATACACAAATAACCTTCACATAGGAGACAAGAGCTGATAACGATGTTTCGGTCCGACTTTGGCCATTAATTAGTCACACACTAGTTAATGGTCCAAGTTGGACCGAAACGTCGTCATAAGTGTCCCCCTATACGCGGGTTATTTGTGTATTCGTAGCCCTCAGTGTATATACACCGAGAGACAGACACATCTCAGTGTAGTAATCAGTCGACGCCGACACAATAACAACAGAAAAGTTACTCCATATCTGGGATCATCAAAATCATAGATTAGATACCGATCAGATTAGATTTTGCCACCAAAGTGGCTAGTGTATCGTGTACCACATATCCATCCTGTGGAGGGTAGCACAAGAGCATATGGATACACAATAGGCCTAGGAACTAGGCCCCAGAAGCGTTAACAGGAGTACATTTGGATTTATACCTACAATTCACTTATCTGTTACAAGCAAATTTAGGAAATTTGCTTAATATATCTGGAATTTTATTTTTATTAATAAGATGCCTTGACATGTCACATAGGTTATTATAGTTTATATCTCTAAATTTATCAATATGTGGACAATAAATCACATAGCGTTCAAGATAGTGACCACAGGTCTGGCCACATACTTTGTATATGGTTTGATCATCATCTGTGGTTGGCTTGTCAGATCAAATTGTTTACATTAAAATTCATATAATAATATCTAAAAGAATTTGGAAAAAGAAGCCGATGGCGACGTCTCGGTCCGACTTGGAGGAGAGGCTAGTCACACTAACACATCAAGATCCAAGTCGAGCCGAAATGTCGCCTTGAGCTCCTCTCTCCTATGTGCGGGTTATTTGTGTTCTGTTCCAGTCACGGTATTGTCCTTTTTTGTTCCCTATATTCTCTTGTTGTGGTGGAGATTCCCACTGGGGATGTGTGGTACTGATGGTGTGGGAATTCCTACTTACACTCAGTGCTTTCTTAACGGAAACTATAATGTAAACTAAGTTTGCATGAAGGTGTGATCTAGCACCTGGTTTGAATGGGAATCTCCCACACCATGGAACTGTTGTTGTTGCATTTGTTGCTTTTTTCAAGAGTTACGACGACTTTTGTCGTATGGGCACTGCAGCCAAAAGTCTGTTGTTTGGATAATTCACTAAGCATTTAAATATAGTAGTCAAGCAAGACATATGTGCAACTGTTGGGTATCTTTACTGCCGGAACATTGCGCCTATACTGTAGGCTTCGTCAGTCAGATGTGATTAATCCATCATTCTTGAAGAGATTGTTTTTAAGGAAGTCTGTCCCTCAGCCTGGAGAAGAAAGTTTGAGGCGGTCAGTATCTCAGCCTGAAGTCCAGTTCTATCTGTCTTACTCAGCTACTTCTCTGTATTGTACACAGTTTTCCTAATTATACTTAGTATTCAGTCTAGCTGCAGCATGGAATAAGAGTACATAGCGAAGTATTTATGGACACGATCATCTGAGTCGAAAGCAGAGCTGTTGAGAAAGACTGTAACTACAGGATGACTAAACTCTTTAGACATCCTACAGGCAAAGTAGAGTAAAAAGTGTTAAACTGCATCATCCTGCATGGGGTACCAAGGGTAGGATGAGATGTATGCTCACCAGGCATAACCAGAAGAGATATGTCCCGCCTGTCAGATATGTCCAGTACGTAGATGCACCATGACAACATCCAGGAGACGATCTTCAGCACAACCCCAAAGACAATGTTCTTCAGAATCACTGACGAGTCCCAGCTCAGTGGACCTGAGGGATGGTGTTGACCTTGACAGCCAGAATTGATTATAGGCTCGCTCTGTCACTGGATCCAGTTCATTTACATTCAGTGTAAGATGTTCCTTGCCAGGCTGGGAATGAGCAATGCATGCAGGCTGACCAACAGTCTTATTTCCTCGGATACCAGAATGAGATGGAAACCACTGCAGACCCCAGCCTAGCGTTGAAATGAAAAACAAAACACTACGAGTCGAAATGTCTCCTAGCAGGGCACAATATTATAGAGGTCTTTTAGTGGAAAGAACAGCAAGGGAGGATTAAGAGACTTTGAAAACAGCTACATAGTGAGGTGAAAGGTACACATGTACAAATAAGAGTATTGTGAATTTAGCAAATACGTATCCCTTCAAGGATAGCAAGTATTTCAGCTAACATCTAAGCTTTGCAAAGAGATAGCTGAGGAAAGTATACACCAAAGGAGGTATATTGGGATGAGTTAATTCGTGATCCATCTGTATAGATTGGTTTTCCTATCTAACATTTTCAAAACTAATAGGAGCAGCATTTAGAAACAATGAAGGTTTGGTATGAAAGAAAATAATCGGATGAGATTAGAAACGCCTGTCATGGAAGGAAATTTGTGAATGCAATATTGAAAGATGGGGGTTAGGAACTGAAAACACTGATGCCAGGCCAGCAACTGATACACGACGGACCTCTAACGTTGCAGCTGAAGGACGCTGCATGTTCATCATTGCCTGCTGCAAAGAATGGGGAAGAGGAAGCAGGTTAAAGCATTTGTAATGTAGGCAGTCCGTCCGACGTCATGAATATTAGAGCGCATCACTCCACAGGACTGACACACAACAAATAAGCTCCATTATACACTGATTTCTTGTTTGTGTTTGATAGGGCCCCTGACGGCCTGCACCGTATCGAGCCCTTTGCACACTGACATACATGGTTCAATTCAAGGTCCACCCTTTCTACATAGACCACTTCCAGATTCCTCTATACCTCATGTCTTTTTCTTCCAGTCTCTCTATCTGCCATAAAGGACCTCAAAACGAGGGCGAAATATGCAGAACAACTTTCTCTCGTCTTTATCCTCATGTAGGTTGCTCACTATTATTGACAAATATTCATAACACTTTGATGTCCCATCGCTTCACGATGTTTATATCTTTGTTTATAGGAGTGTTGAAGCTATCTATATACCATTGTTTATAGGGGGTATTGTTGAGATGAATATTCTTTTGTGTTTAGTGGTTTAATAACAAATGGTGATAAACATCTACAAATAAGTAGGAAAGACACATATACGGTAACTAGGACATTTTATTTAGCGAGATGTCTCGCCAACTAGTGACTGAGTCCATCCAAATTGGATTGATATAGCCACTGGCTGGCGAAACGTCTCATCGGCGTTCTAGTGACCACATATGTTGTATTTCCTTCACAAGGGGAGTGGTAGCTCAGCTAACAGGAGGCTTCGTGTGTTGCAGATGATTAAGATGATGTTGGCGTGTGTGTTGGCTTACACCCTGGCTTGGCTGCCCCTCAATCTGTACATCGTGCTCAGAGACATACCCAGCCTCTTCGACGCTCTCAGTGAGAGGGTACATCTTACGCTATTTTTCATTGTCCACTGGTTGGCTATGTCCCACACCTGCTACAACCCTGTCATATACTTCTGGATGAACAGCAGCTTCCGCGTTGAGTACTACCGTGCCCTCAGATGCTTTCCCTGCGTGGTTGATGGTCATCTAGCTTCCTCTGATGGCACGGTGACAAAGAGTGCCAACTACTGCAGTAGGTACGCCACGTGTGAGAGCGCAGATCAAGTGTTGACGCGAAAGGAATCTAGAAGAACATGCGGTGACCAGTTCAGTCTGCAAGCGCTGATGTCAAAGTATCCTGAAGGAGACGATCCTCCCCAGCACCACAAGCTGCTGGTGTCAAAGCCTCCTGAAGAAGAGGATCCTCTTCAACAACACAAGTTTCTGTTGCCAAATCCTCCTGAAGGAGAGGATCCTCCCCAGCACCACAAGCTGCTGGTGTCGAAGCCTCCTAAGTGAACCTACCACCTCCAACACCACAACCAGTGTCCCTCGACCCCTCATCTTCACCTCTCAGCCGACCCTCGCCTTTCTGTATGTAGCACCTGATCCTCTTTAGATTCTTAATTAAGTAAGCAAACTACGGAACGGGTGGTGTTTAAACCCATGGCAAGTAAGCCCTAAAACCCCACCCGTTCCCTAGTTTGTTTATAGTCGTGTTAAGTAGTTTACTGATGACTGAGATATGTTTGTAACCCTTGGGAATTTTACTCAAGGGTCTTTAAAAATTTAATGCGTAGACAGGAGAATGGAGCTTTTTATAGTGGAGAATTGCTACAGTAGTAGACGTAGTAATATATGGATGGAATCCACTAATGCAAGTACGTCAGGCTCGTAAAATAAATCAGAGAATTGCCACTCGTGATGTAGAGATATTTTCTGATTTCCCGAAAGGCTGGTAGTGGTGAGTGCAGTGGTGGAGGAAGTGGAGGTAGTGGAGGTAGTGGAGTGGTACAGCAGTAGCAGATGTGGTCACAGCAACACCGTGGAATCTGGATGTAAATGAATAAACGAATATACAACTCAATTGCCAAATCTCTGGTCTACTTTATGGGCGTGACCTACTTCCACCAGTGGGCCCCGCCCACATGTGACCACGTCAATCACTGCTGCATCCCTCCCCACGTCTTCCGCCACCCTCTTTCCCCCCCCCCCCCGGTGGGCGAAACCAAGGTGTCGCACATCTGTCTTATTCACCATCTTGGCAGCATAGTGTGCCATTGATTAGATAATACAGAGCTTGTCTTGACCAGACGAAGGATCGAGCCTTCACTACTCTTCATGTTGCATGACTCATACAGGTTTAGCGCTCCATGGGTTACAATATATCTATTTTAACTTGATGGTGAGGTGCTTTAATGCCCGTGAAGGGTTCTTGATCCGAGAAATTGGAGTTGCTCTCCCCTTTCTCGGATCAAAGCTGACTACCTGGTATTCCCCCGGGGCTCATGCTAGTTTAGCGCTTCCCTCTCCACTTAACAATATATATTTGTCTTGACAGTGCTGCGCGGATGGTGGATCGAGCCTCCTGCCATTGAATGACCCCTCACGGGTTTACCGCTTTAACTAATTTATAGTTTTCTTTTACTGTTCCTTGTTGCTGCTTGTCTGTTGCTTGTCTGTTGCTGGTCTGTGGTTGTCTGTTGCTGGTCTGTTGCTTGTCTGTTGCTTGTCTGTTGCTTGTCTGTTGCTGGTCTGTGGTTGTCTGTTGCTGGTCTGTTGCATGTCTGTTGCTGGTCTGTTGCTTGTCTGTTGCTGGTCTGTGGTTGTCTGTTGCTTGCTGTTGTTTTCTGTTGCTTATTGTTTTCTGTTGTTTGTCTGTTGTATTCTGTTGTTTTCTGTTGCTTGCTGTTGTTTTTTGTTGCTTGCTGTTGTTTTCTGTTGTTTGCTTGTCTGTTATTACTCTGTGTCATCGTTTGTTTTTTTTTGTTCTGTTCTCTTCATTTCTCTTCATTTCTCTTCCATTTCCTTCGCCGTCGTCTTCATTTCTCCTCTTAATCTCAATCCTTCCACTTCTCCTCTCCCCACTTCTCCGTTCTTCCTCCTTCATTCCTCACTACATTCCATTTCCAACCCATAAATCATTTCTCTTCTACTTCTCTTCTCTCCTCCTCTTCCTTTCTTCTCTTCTTCCGTCTTCCTTCTTTTCCCCTCAATTCTTCTTTAATTTCTTCCTTTCTCTACTCTACTTTCATTGCTTCATTCTCTTACCTTTTCTTATCTTCTTTCTCAGCTCCCCACAGCTCCCCACAGCTCCCCACAGCTCCCCACAGCTTTCCACAGCTCCCCACAGTTCCCCACAGCTCCCCATAGCTCCACACAGCTCCCCACAGCTCCACACAGCTCCACACAGCTCCCCACCGCTCCACACAGCTCCCCACAGCTC